TTTTTTTTTTTTTGGAGAATATAGAATCCAGACCAACCGTGTATTCCGATGTGACGGAAGCTGCAGCGTAAGCTGCTGATCTGAATTCTGATCCGGCGAGGCCGCCGGAATCTCACGCCTGGGATCTGCCGATCAGACGTTCAGAGGCACTTGCGGGCGATGGCGCCGGTCGTGGCGTCACGGTCGACGAAATTCAGGCCCAGATTCCACACCGATACCGTCAGCCAGATTTTAACAACTTGTCTGGCCAGTGGCAACGCAGGGCTCGGACTCACCGGCCGAGCCGGTGCTGTGGTCCGGTCCGGCCGACGCGTGGCCATCTCGATCGGTCAATCACGCTCGAGCGGCTTTCCCTTCCATTTGCACCATCCTGGAAAGCGGCTTCGGGCTTCTCTTTCAACCGGCCGCCGCCGTCTCTAAAAGGGCCGAGGAATCTGCGTGAGCTGAGCTGCTCTTCTAGGTTGCGCTGCGTTGCGTTGGTGGTAGGGCGGCGTGACAGGACAGCGCCCTTCACATTCACAAGTCAACAGCGCGAGCTGCCCAGCTAGCTAAAGCTAATCCTCCGCCCTGCTTGTGAGTTGGGACGAAGAGGCGTAGAGCGAGGGGGGGCCTGCCCATGGAGAGCGGGAGGAGGCAAGGCGTGGTGGCGATCGAGTGCGTCGCGGGCGGGTCGCGGGCCGAGGAGTGGGGGCCCGGGAGCAGCGAGACGGTGCAGACGGGGGACGTCGTGGAGGAGCTCCTCATCGGGGTCGGCAGCCGGGGCGGGCCCGCGTCGCACGCCGCGCCCTTCAAGGGCGGCCGCGCCGCGCTGCAGAAGCTCCTGCACGCGGCCTACAAGCGCGGGGAGACCTCCGTCGAGGTCCGCGTGCGCCGCTCCGCCTCCACACAGGGGCAGCAGCGGCAGCTCGTCGCCGGAGGCGACGACAGCAGCGGGGAGCTGGTGGACGCGGCCACAGAGGCCAGGATGCAGGCCTGCATCGTGCCGCAGGAGTCCGTCGGCGGCGGCGGCATCGGCCGCAGCCGCCAGTACGTGCTCCGCTCCATCCGCGACCCCAACTACGCCGTCGGCCTCGTCGACCGCATGGAGAGCGAGTGCATCGCCATCAGAGGTACAAGTACCAATCATGCCTATCCTCTTCTTCATGCAATTTAAATTCGAGTTATTTTGGCACCATTTTTTGATCCGCTTTTAGCCCGTACACCAACTTGATTCGGTTTGCGCTAGCGCTCTGAAGAAAAGTAAAAGTCCGCGACTGAGTTTTCGTTACATGCCGGGTTGGACTTGAGAAAAAAGGATGGGTGCATGCGGCATGCCTGTGCCCGCTGCATGCGGACTTTCGTGCACAAAAAGTTAAGCAAGTAGGCTGGTTTGATAGGTGACATGCGCTTTATCGTTTCCTGAAATTTGGCGTGTTCACGATAGGGATTTGGGTTTGGTTGTAGGCATACACTTGGATAGTTGGATGTTGGATCGGTACAGACTAAGACAGTCAGAAATGGTCACTTCGAGGAGTACTTATATAAATGCATGCATGATGATCCCATCGTCGTATCTGTGAATATGTTCAGGATATCCTGGGTCTGATGGGATAGGATCCATGGAAGATTGTAGAAGGTGTTTACAGCATTGTTGGTCTTGTTGTGTTGAGGACCGTACCGCTTGGCCGACCAAATTATAATACGGTAGTCTATAATCCAGATGATGCATGCTAGCAATGCTATGTAGTCAAGCATATTCTTGGAACATTACAAACAAGAGAACGATGACCGAGCAGCGAGCACTAGATCTTGTATTCTAGTTACGTCTTGCAAAAAAATTGCAAGCTTTTGTTGACAATAAGATCCAGATCTTCTTGTGAAATGGTGGCATGATATACCTAGGAAGTCTGCATGCAGTGCTGTTCTCCTGTCAGTAAAAAAAGTATATAACTTTTGTTGAGGAATCTAAAAAAAAAGTATATAATTGCTTAGTCTAGCTCAAACTTCAAACTCATTCTACTTAATAAAATGATACGTAGTTCTCTTGCGTATTCGAGAAAAAAAAAAAGATGCATACTTCCCGGCAACAGACACGGTGATACACATTGAATCGAATCAGCATTTAGCTTGGTTCATTATTATGCTTGGCGAACCACTTGCTGATTACTGAATATTCACCTGATTATAAAATCTTGTCGCGAATTCTTAATTAATGAAACCAATAGATTCCTCCGTTGACTTTTTGTTGGTTTGATCATTTAGTTTCCTTCTGAATTGGAAAAAAATAACGCATGATTACAGAACATGGAAAAAATATTGATCTGATTCCTAACTCTTTTGCGTCTTGTATTCTTGTTACGTCTTGCATTTGCAAGCTTTTGTAAATTGTACCAAATAAGATGCCAATCTTGTTATGAGATAGGAACTCGACAATCAGGTTACTCTAAATCATGTATTCATGTAGACTGTAGTAACATGATAAACCTGGAAGTCTGTATAGTGAACGCACTATGCAGTGTGTTGCTCCTGTCAGTCAAAAAGGTATATAATTGCTTATGCAAGATGGGATCGTCGGGGAAAAAAATAGCTCAAGATGCATACTTCCAGGCAACAGACACGGTGATGCACGTTGGGTCGAACTAGTGTTTAGCTAGATTCATTATTATGCTTCACAAACCACTCGCTGATTGGCGATTGCTGAATAGTATTCATCTGATTATAAAATCCTGCCTCAAATTCTTAACGCGAGTACGCGACCAGCCTGTTCGTTTGGCTGTGGCTTGTCGTAAACGATAGTAAATTTTCAGTCGGAACAATATTTTTCTCTCACACAAATCAGCCAACAGTACTCATTCACGAACCAGCAACGAAACGAACCAGCCAACCGAACAGGCTGTAGGAGATTCCTCGGTTGACTTTTATCGGCCTGATCAGTCACTTTCCTTCTCTATTGGACCAAAAAAGTAGTGCGTGGTACAAGATCATGAAAACATATCGATATAAGGCTATCTCCAACAACAACACCTAAAATACAAGATCCATTCGTTTTTTAGGTAGTGCTATAGGCAAAATATTCAATACATATTCGGCATCTTCTCCAACAATAAGATCCAAAAGAGAATCATTTCTGCAAATGGGTTTCCAGGAGAGAGGATCAACAAAAACTCAAAAAAAATCCTTTCTGCAAATGGGTTTCCAGGAGAGAGGATACCTATATTTAGGTTGTGCCTCTCAGACAACCTAAAATAGATCTTCTGTATAAGTATTCTGTTGGAGGCTGATTTTGAGTCTCTTGTTACCTATTTTAGGTTTAGGTGTCCATATGAGTTCTTGGAGACCGTCTAAGTTTGCAAACTCTTCTGCATTCCTGATGCTATGGTCGTTGGCACCTACGGTGCTTTTCTTCAGGCTCGAGGAGCTCGAGGGTGGTGTGCGCGCTGAGCAAGGCGCAGCTGCAGGACGGCTACGTGTCCTACCCGTGGGAGAAGAAGATGCGGGAGGTGCTACCAATCCCCAACTCCAGCAGCTTCCTCTCCTTGCTCATTCTGCCCATGGCGCTCGACCGTGCCGGCTCCCGCTACAACTGCGTCGAGGACACCCTGGCCCGCGCCAACGCCTGGATCCTCTCGTCTCAGGCGTCCGGCGTGCCCATTGCGTTCTTGAACGTGCAGACTGAGGCCCTTCTCACCAAGGTAGCAATGATCAAGATTGCATTGATGATGTTGGTTCAGTCGTCTCGTCCGTGTGCGCCTCTCCGATGATGATCTGACTTTCTTGGTGCAGATCTCCGGCGAGACAGCATCTTCGACGGTCAACTCGGGCTCACTGGCCGACCTCCCGAACCTCGCCAACGCCAGCCTTTATGGCTTCGAGGACTATCACGGCGTGGACATCGGCGTGGTGAAGGCGGTGCGCGTTTGGTACACGGCCGCTGCTGGAGAGATGCCTGTGGAGATCATCCTCGAGGAGGGCGACGCCAGGCTCGGCTTCGCCATTAGCCGCACTGAAGAGGTACGTACGGCGGACACGTCCCGCTGGTCGCATTCTCGCGCGCTGTAGTGCATGTGCATGTCTGGTGAGTCAGAACTCAAGTCACTTCACTTGTGACTGTGAGCAGGGCTTCATCTACGTCTCGTCCGTGGTGGAGAACGACGTCGAGCGCCAGGCACCGTCGACGCGTTCGGGGCTCCGCGACCTCTATCGTGAGGCGAAGCGCGCGTCCAAGCTGCTGGTCATCTCGAGGGTGTCGGGCCAAAAGGTGCTGCCGTGGATGGTGTCCACTTCCGGCGCCATCCGGTGCTTCGACACCGTGTCCCTCAGCCAGAAACTGTCCCTGCACCGCCACGCTCTGCGGCCGATCCTTCTTCACGTGCTCATGTGGGACGGCAAGTCCGACGCGCCGGCTCGACCAGGCCACGAGCCCTGCCCGCTGCCGCTGCCTTTGCCGTCCCCGGAGTTGCCGCGGCAGAACTCTTTTGCGTGCGTCGAACAGCGGATGCAAACGGAATTGAACCCCGGGGTCATGCACGAGAGGGATACCGCTGGGGATGCATCCTTCAGGTTCCATAATTTCTCGCTGCCCAACAACTGGGTCTGATAAATGCTACCACATGCTTGGATACTGTACATATGTAGATTTAAGTGAGTTGTGTGCTGAGAAAGGGCAGCTTGTAGTGTAACTTGTTGCGTGAGAAGTATAATTTTGGTCGATGAAAATGCTCTGTGTCGGAACTATTTTAGACACTACAGATGACTGCACTAGGTGAATAACAGTTTCAGGATTGCACTAGGAGAATAACAGTTTGTGTGCAAGCTATACATTTTATTTTCACAAGTGATATGTGGTACACAAAGAAGGGTATAACAAGAGCAATGAACAAGCCTGTCTTCAGAACAACTTAACCACCTTCAGGACAACAGCATTTGGAAACGAAGACCCAATTGTCAGTTGGGGTAATTTTGTTTTGCATCCTGGTATCTGTCAATTCATAAGATATCCAGATCCATCTCCTGCATAGAGTCTATACTCCATCCTTTCCTTTCAGGTTAATCACTGAAAGCTCCTGTTCGACATAATCCCCGGCGCATATAGGTGGATAGGAATAAGCATCAGGTGTTTCATCAAAGTGGCCGAGCGGCTTAAGAATTGCATCCGAAGCAATGTGCGCGAACAACTGTTTATACAAAGAGAAAATGAGTTGGTAAGTAAAACGTCTGACTATAGAATTTAACCACTGCCGACTTTTAAACCCTTGCCCAAACTATTGCTTACATAAATTGAGAATCAATAGTACTTACTGTTGATGAGACCCTCCACAAGCTTCTATTTTGTTCTCTCGCTAGTGCTATGGCCTCTAGTGTTCTCTTGGTCACTACTACCTCATGCATTCCAGCCAAACACTCACCACCAGTAAGCCATTCCAGCTGTTCAGAAAGGAACACATCTGATTAGTAAATAGTCATACAGTACAGTTTTTTTTTTTAACTTTACAGCGACACCCAGTATTTCTAGTACTTCTGTAGTTCTGTTGAAGTATTTGATACTCCAGGAAAGAACTCATATATTTGCTCCAAAACTTTAAGAAAAAAAAATCTATCTAGGTTTGTCCAAACTCGTTTTTTTTTACCTTTGAATCTATAAAAATAAAAATATATTATCAAAAGAGTTACTTATTATGAAATTATCTTTCATAATGAATCTAGTAATTTCAATTTTGTGTTGCGAATCTATATAAAGGTCAAAGTTACAAAAGTTTGATAAATCTGATGTACTTATATTTATGATTGGAGGAAGTATAAAAGTAGAGTTCACTTTGATTTTTACAACCACATTGATTATAAAAACAAGTACTCATAAAGACCAAACAAAACAAAATATGATACCATCAAACTGAAAATGTTGATAGAGATTTTTACATAAAAGTAGCAAGGCTGACCTGTTTTCCAGACTGAATTAGAAGGCAACCAACAGGGACTTTCACCTCCATCTTTTTACCATTCCTTAACCAGATGTTAAGGCCTGGGAATCTACTCCGGCCATGTATTGTCAAGAAATTAAGATCGTAGTGGAATCCAGCAAAAACGGTGCCCTCAGAACCATGACGCTGCAGGTCACTTCCAGTTGGTGCCAGGAGATGTGGTCCCTAGTGTTCAAAGAGAAATTGAGCAATCTCAACAAAATTATTATACAAGTTGAATTTGAATACTATATAGAGACTGCTGATCTCTAACTGCATCACTACAGAACCAAAGAGCTCATGCCATACTTTAGAACCCACTAAAGGAACCCAATGATGGCTTTTGACACAGAAAAAGGAAGAATAAGATTTTTTTTTTTAAATGAGTACAACAGAACAAGGCAGAGATTTTTCTTTTTTGAATGAGTAGAGCACAGAATGACAATATTACCTCCTTCATCAAAGAAGTAAATGCATCCTTGGACAAGCCAAAGCCAATTGCAGCCATCTCAGCAACAACCTATGTAAACATAACCATACAGGTGTGGGCATACGGCACAAAGCTATGTATAATACATAAAACACTGTGAATACTGTTCAGAAAAAGGTACTAGCATGATAGATATACCTCAATTGCAGAAATCATTTTAGAACCCCAGGAATCCATCGTCTCTTTCCACTCAGGTAATCCCTCAGGGATAACAGGTTCTGAGTTTAGCTCCTATATAAACAAGGTTAGTTACCAGCTCAGTGCAAAGAAAAAAAACTAAACTACACCATCAATAGTTAACGCATTTCATATTTTAAAATCAAAGATCGTAGAGAGACGTCACATGGAAACCACAACCTTAAAGCGGGTATTTCCAGGGCGAGGACCCACTCTCCACATGTACCGCCATTTCGGGTCCGGCCCTTTAGGCGTGGCTGGCTGAAACTCCTCGGGCATGCTCCTGATCTTCTCCTGCATGTTCTTGTCGACCAAACTGCGAGGAACTTCCACCCCTTCGGGTGTGACACCAACCTTACCAAGAACAAGGATAAACAAACTGGATCAGTAATTCAGCACAGTGGGGGTAATTTGAGTTTTTTAACACGCATTAAGCAAGACCTGATCGTGCCTATTTTACAATGTGATCGATCACGGCAGTAATCCCAGCACCGTGAATCCAGTGTTTAGAGCCATCTGGTTGACCATAACCACACCCGATCCATCAAACCCGCCGGTCAATTCGACAAGCAGACAGAGAAGAAAAGGCACGGGGGCGGGCACCTGCCTACCTGGTAGTGGAGGTGGGGCCGTTCCTGGAGGCGCTTTGCGTCGGCGGATCGGGCGAAGTAGCGCTCGACGACGTCGAGGAAGCGGTCGTTATCCGCGGCGGAGCAGCGCGGGTCCATCACCAGCAGCGCCCCCGTGTCCCGCAGGCTAGCGCTCACCGTGGCGCACAGCGCGCGCAGCTCCTCCTCGCCCGCCGGGGCCGCGTCGCCGGCGGCGGTCCGGAGATACGGCGCGAGATCCACCACCGGCAGGTCCATGGGGGCTGGGGCTGCGCGGCGCGGGAGATGCGAGTTGAAATGAGAGGGGAATCGGGGGCAAGTCGAGCGGACTGGTGAAAGACTGGAAGTGGAATAGAGTCGTGCAGGGAGCGGTGGGATGATGCGTGAAGGTACCGAGAGGTATTAATTCAGGGCGTTCGGTTGTCGGTTCCAGGTTCGGTACCTCGGTTATCGATGAAATTATAGAAAATGGTAATTGATCGGTTTAAAAATATTTTAGGAATCGAGCATTTCGGTTCTCGGTTATTTCGGTTCGGTTCCGATTCTAATCAAATTTTTTCGAAAGATCTCAAAACAATAATAAATATATTTGTTCTAAGGCAAATTTATGCAACACTATATTCATTTTAATAATAATAATAATATATAAGAAAACAATGGTAATATAGTAACATAAATATATAGCAGTTCAAATATAAAACACTACACATAAACCAAACATAATCCTACAAAATATAAGTAAGTGAAGTATAATTCATGTAATTCGGTTATTTTGGTTAATTCGGTTAACCGAGAGTAGGAACCGAATTTTTTTCAGTTATTTTGGTTCCTTAATATCAGAAACCGAATAAAGAACCGAATTTTTCGGTTTCGGTTCTTTCGGTTCGGTTTTCGGTTCTCGGTGAAATTTGTCCAGGGCTACCAAGAAGTAGAGTTGCAGGGAGCGGTGGGACGATGCGTGAAGGTACCGAGAAGTTGGGGCCGGAACAGCAAACCGGGTGAGCACGGAACCTGTTTGGATAAAGATTCTCCCGTCCCGGCACACCGACGCACCGCGTGCAATTGGAAACGCCTATTCATATTCGATGATATTCAATATTCAATGGGACGTGCAATTCAAAGGTGCCCGTATGCTTCGTATCATAATACGAGCCAGCTATTTTTATTAGATTTAACTAGCAAACGTGTTGGCGCGTTGCAACTAACTCAATAAGCCTGTTTGTTTTGTCTAGACTAAGCTAGCGTGGAAGAATGAGTAGAGCGGCAAAACTAGATTAGTGTAACTTCTTTTGTTGGTGGATTTATGTTTGTTGGGCTTGGCTCTGTACAGCCTGTTGTTTGTTTACCCGCGCATGTCAGACACCCACACCAACCACCTGTGCACAGCAGCGCTACAGCCCGAGCCAGCCGCGAACCTCGGTTTTTATTTCCTCATGGCCAGGTTCCACAGTGCTTTGAGCATCGTGCGACACAGGCACCCATGCGGTCTAGGCAAACAGACAAGTCCAGTTGCACCATGCGGGGCTGCCTCGAGCCGCAGTCCAAACAATCAATCAAACACGCACAATATGTATAGAAATAGGACTTCGTGTCACGTTAGGTACGAGTTATTCTACCTGACATGAATGTGGGTCATGAGTCCGATTTATGTACGAGATACGTAGGCACATCCCAATACATGTTAGAATCGGACTTCGTATTCATTATCGTTAGATGCGAGTTGTCAATATGTATGGATCATGAGTTCGGGTCACATAGAGGAAACTCTTCACTGTTGAAGCAATTAGGGGAGACATTTTTCCTATTTAATATCAGGTATAGTAAATATATATTTAATTTAGCTTATGAACGGTGAAATGCAAGCCATACGCATGCGTATGTGCTATTGTGTGCACATGTTGTGTGAGATTATGAAGGATGAAATGCGAGCCATACGCATGCGTAAGCCGTGACACAAATGGTTTCGGACGGCTAGACCATGATAAATGTGGTGCAAAATCAATGAAAGCTTTGTGACTCCGGACTCAAAGAAAGACAGGTGATAGTGTACGTAGGATAAGTAAGAGAAGTGAGACATGAACATATGAGAGAGAGGCAAAAGAAATAATTTTCATGCATTCTTTGTTAAATCATCTAGAGTTTGATAAAATATTGAGAAAAAATATTAATATGTTGTAACAAGACGTAGCTTATTCTATGATAACCCGAATGACTTTTATCTTGAAGATTTATTCAACAATCGCTCTCATTTATCCTAGAGGTGAAAGCTATAGTTTAGTTTTGGTTAATTAATGAAACCATAAGTGTTAACCTAGTTTATTAAAGTGATTATGAGATAGGTAGCACTACTCCAAGTGATAAAGCAATGACGAAGATCATGACGATGGTGATGGCATGGTGATGATCAAATGCTTAAACTTGGAAAAAAAAGAAAGAGAAAAATAAAAGGCTCAAGGCAAAGATAAAAATTGTAGGAGCCATTTTATTTTAGTGATCGAGACACTTAGCAAGTGTGATCACATTTAGGATCGATAGCCGTACTATTAAGAGGGGTGAAACTCGTATCGAAATGTGGTTATCAAAGTGTCACTAAATGCTCTAACTCATTGCATATGCATTTAGGGTATAGTGGAGTGCTAACACCCTTGAAAATATTTGTGAAAATATGCTAACACATGTGCACAAGGTGATACACTTGGTGGTTGGCACATTTGAGCAAGGGTTAGAAACTTCACCGGCGGAGTGTCCGCCCGTTGAGTGCGGACAGTCCGTCGGTGCCACCGGCGCTCTTTACAGAAAAGATGAAGGTCATTGAAAGTGACCAGACGCTGGTCTCGGTTGGCCTGGCGCGTCCGGTCAGTGGCAGCAGAGGGCGCGTGTTTCGGTCTTCGACCGGACGCTGGCGCTAAAAGCGACCGGACGCTAGCAGGGTGCGTCCAGTCAGTGCTGACGTACGCTGACGTGGGGCGCACAGAGGAGACGTTAAGTGACCGGACACTGGGTGAGTCCGGTCGGGCATGACCGGACGCGTCCAGTCGTGAAAACTCGCGTTTGGAACCTTACTGGAAACGACCGGATGCTGGGGTCCAGCGTCCGGTCACTTTCTAACTGACGCGTCCCGTCATCACTTGACCGTTGAGATCGGACGATCAGCGTTTGAAGCAGGGAACACGTGGCGAAGATCTAAGGACCGGACGCTGGGGTCCTGCGTCCGGTCAATACGACCGGCGCGTCCGGTCATCCCGCATTGTGCCTAGTGAAGGGGCACAACAGCTCTATTCGTGGGGACTTCTATTTAAGCCACATGGCCGGCTCAAACTCAGGTGGTTGGCCATTTGCATCGATACAACAACTTTGTGAGCTTAACCAAAGTCCTCCCACTCATCTCCATCATTAATTCATCATCTTTGTAAGATTGGGAGAGAATCCAAGTGCATTACTTGAGTGATTGCATCTAGAGGCACTTGTATTCGTGTTTCGCTGTGGGATTCGCTTGTTGCTCTCGGTGGTTGCCACCACCTAGACGGCTTGGTGCAGCGGTGGAGGATTGGCACGAGTTGGTGATTGTTCGTGGCCATCTCCGGTGATTTGTGAGGGGATTTGTACCTTCCCCGACGGAGCGCCGAAATGTAACTTTAGTGGATTGCTCGTGTCATTGAGTTACCTCCGGACGCTGGTAGGGTGCGTCCGGTCAGTGCTGACGTACGCTGACGTGGGGCGCACAGAGGAGACGTTAAGTAACCGGACGCTGGGTGAGTCCGGTTGGGCATGACCGGACGCGTTCGGTCGTAAAAACTCACGTTTGGAACCTTACTGGAAACGACCGGACGCTGGGGTCCAGCGTCCGGTCACTTTCTAACTGACGTGTCCGGTCATCACTTGACCGTTGAGATCGGGCGATCAGCGTTTGAAGCAGGGAACACGTGGTGAAGATCTGAGGACCGGACGCTGGGGTCCTGCGTCCGGTCAATACGACCGACGCGTTCGGTCATCCCGTATTGTGCCTAGTGAAGGGGCACAACAGCTCTATTCGTGGAGACTTCTATTTAAGCCCCATGGCCGGCTCAAGCTCAGGTGGTTGGTCATTTGCATTGATATAACAACCTTGTGAGGTTAGCCAAAGTCCTCCCACTCATCTCCATCATTAATTCATCATCTTTGTGAGATTGAGAGAGAATCCAAGTGCATTGCTTGAGTGATTGCATCTAGAGGCACTTGTATTCGTGTTTCGCTGTGGGATTCGCTTGTTGCTCTCGGTGGTTGCCACCACCTAGACGGCTTGGTGCAGCGATGGAGGATTGGCACGAGTTGGTGATTGTTCGTGGCCATCTCCGGTGATTGTGAGGGGATTTGTACCTTCTCCGGCGGAGCGCTGAAATGTAACTTTAGTGGTTTGCTCGTGTCATTGAGTTATCTCACTTGTGGGTAGGTTCTTGCGGTGTCCAATCATGTGGACGAGGTTTGTGCAACACCTCTTAGCCGCCGAACCACCAAGTGTTGGTCGACACGACGGGGACGTAGCGTGTTGGCAAGCACGTGAACTTCGGGAGAAAATCGGTTGTCTTTTGCTATTTAGTATTCTCCCGGTGATTGGTTTAATATTCATCTTGTGATTGGTTCACTTCTCCACACGGCGGTATAATCATCCTACTCACTCATTTATATTCTTGCAAACTAGTTGTGGCAAGCTCTTTAATGTAATTAGAATTGAAAGCTTGCTTTGCTAATTAAGTTCATCTAGTGGAGCTCTTTAGAGTAACAAGGTTGAGAGCTCTTAGTGGCTAGTATCATAGCAAGTTGTGTGACTAGCAATCATTGCAACTAGAAGTGTTCAATAGGTGACTTGCAACCCTTGGAGAGCTAGAGCAAGTTTGTATTTTGCTATTTGTCATACTAATCAATTTGCTCTAATTGGTTTGTAGTTTATTTTAAATAGGCTATTCACCCCCCTCTAGCCATATTAGGATCTTTCAAAAGGTCAACTCCGTAATGTGCTTAGAAACACACTACTCTAACTCGTATTGTTAGGTGGGCTTACAGATTTTATCAAATGATCGTGTCGTGTGTTCTAATTTATTCTAGGCTTATATTTCCTTCGTGTCTATACATATTGCTCCAACTTGTTTGGACATTTGAGAGAGAGTAAAAGACCACAAAACACACTTTGATATTAGGTATATACTATCATTTAAAAAAAAATAAAGTTCATGCTAGAGACATATATCTAAAGCACTTTTCTTCCGTACTTGGAAGTAGAT